GAATATATCAAATGAATTTTGTAGATACTTTACTCGTGTAGGAGACTCGAAAGAAAAGAAAATTTCCAAAGCCTACATCTTACAGTGAAATACAAAGGTAGATCCTGTGAACAGTATTTTTCTTTCCAATATGTAAAAAAGACAAAGTATGAAAAATTGTGAATACATTTGTAAACAACCGACTCTGGCTCAGACATGATGCATCTGTAATTGTACCTTTTTACATACCTTTGCAACTTGTCACTAAAAACAGGAACCTTTTCCTGAAAAAAAATGGAAACAACCAAATTATACCTCTTTACAGAAACAAACACAACTTCTCAAATTCTAGACCCTTGTCTTTGTTACCACAGTTTTCAAAAATCTTGAAAAAAGTATTTGCAATGTGAGTGGATAGCTTTTTACAAAAGTAAATGTGTTAATTCAAAATGAGTATGGCTTTAGGAAAAAACACTCTGCTGTGGGAATAATGGAACTGACAGAGAAAATATGCAAATACATATGTTGTAAGTATCTTACTAGACCTGCAAAAGGCTTGTTCATACATGGATCTCTAGTTATCTAGAAAATCTTAAACAGTTTGTGCATATAAATTGTAAAAAATAATAAATTACTCAATACCTATATTGTTTGTATGAATGACTTTCCAAAAGTATCAACTATTGTGCTGTCCTCACGATACGTGACCATGTGAAGCTGGAGCAAACGGGAAAGAAACTCTGTAGACAAGGTTTACTTTTCTTGTTTCATAGATAATCTCTTGCGTATGGTTCATTGCATCCCTAAATACAAAATATAAAATCACCGTAACTGCAACACTAGAAAAACTATCAACGGTTGTGCACACGGAATTGCGTACAGCGCTTGCTACTCAGATATAGCCCAAACTTAACACTTTGCAGTAGAATAAAACACTTTTATGGTGCCTAACAATGTGTTTGTGAGATTAAATAATACTTACAAAGATGATAGTTTGCCACGGGTCAACACATTAAACAAAGATTGTTACAAAGACAAACCAAACAAGAGCGCTTACTCTGCTCGACCAGGAAACTGATGTCTTACTTTGTTTCCCCTTATATTTTAGCACCACAAACAACTATAGCTTATTATCACACTGGGCTGAAGAAGGCGCTGCGGGGCCCAAACACGCTGGTCCCTTCTCTGTTAAAGGACTTTTATCAGAGTGCCTCGGTTTTCACCCTGTCTTCATTTCCCGTGGAAAAGGGAATCTTTGTTTTTTAAATGTAACTTATTACATAGCATTTAAGAACGTGTTGCATTTTTAAACTTATAAATGATTGAATTATGTCTTTAAACTTGTAAACATGACACCTATATTACAAATAATCTTATTTGCTGGTGCCACAGCATTATTTTGTTGTGGAAAAAATGTTGGAGAGTTATCAAAAAGTAATAAACAAAGAACTTGTCATAATAAAAAATCTGGTTGGTTCAAATGACTTTGTTCTAAACAAAGAAAAAAAAAAACAAATACATACTATTCAATGCTAAAAAGAAAAAAATCTTAAATAGTGTATCGATAAGACTAGACGGGGGAAATTCAAAAGGGTAAAAAGAAACAACATTTTTGGGAGTCATCATCGTTGAGGATCTGAGTTGTAAATCTCACAGACACTGTACATAAGGAAAATTAGCCAAATCACTTGGTGTTTTACACTTTCCAAACCACTCAGCATTACTGACCTTAGATAATACAATGATTATACCGACCTCACCTATGTTGTCAACATTTGGAGACAACGTTTAAAACACATACACTGCCTATAGTTATAGTTATAGTTATTCATCAAATCCTGTTTTTGAGTGCTTGGTGTTAAAATTGTATGTTATAGTAGATTATACTATTTATCATACATTGTATAAGGTAATTGGGACACATTAGCAGAAAACATCTACGAAAACACCGCTCAGCATTACTGACCTTAGATACTACAATGATTATACCGACCTCACCTATGTTGTCAACATTTGGAGACAACGTTTAACACAGCCTATAGTTAAAAAAGACCAGAAGGAAAATATATCGAGATTCATTAAATCCTGTTTTTGAGTGTTTGGTGTTAAAATTGTATGTTATATTGGATTATACTATTTATCCTACATTGTATAAGGTAAATTGCAAAACATTAGCAGCAAACCTCTAAGAGAACTTTGGAAAAAAGACAAAGTCGATACAATCTGTAAGTAACTGACATCTTTAATAAAAACTATATTCAGAACTAAAGTCATGGGAAGAATGGTCTCAGTGGAAGGAATCAACTTAACAAAGACATTAAAGAGTCAAAATAAAAATCATGGTTTTTAAGAAACAACAAAACTACTATACTCAATAAATATGAGAGTGTTACATAATAAGAAAATCTGAATTTTAATTAATGGTTTGTGTTTTGGTAAAATGTTGTACATAATGTTTAATTAATGGTTTGTGTTTTGGTAAAATGTTGTACATAATGTTTAAGGTATGTAATATGGGTGTTTAATCAGTCTTTAAGATGACTATTTATGGTAACAAGTATCAATTGTATATCTGAGAGATGTACGCCTTTAAATCATTTGATCTCCAGTAAAAAGAAAACCTGTACCAAGGACCCTAGTTTCACATCTACCTACTCTGTTTCAAACTGTGTACATATATGTATATAGGGTTCTTATTTTTATTGTATTGTACAATTAAATTGATATAGAGACTACTACCTTATGAATAGGGTTAGGATTATAACGCATTAATTACGATTGATAAACGCCACAAAATATATGTGTTTTTGCTCCACGGAACCTTTGTCATCAGGTGAGTTTCAGACGGATCGTTCATACTGGTGTACCAGTTAGAACCCTGCGCCCATCTCCGTGAAAAATAACAACTATCCTCCTATTGTTTTAGTACAACACTCAGGGCCACATGATAAGTCTATCACACACACCTAAGTGTCGCTCTTTCAGAGTTCGGTTGCAGTACCACTTGTTGTAGAAAAAAAAAAAACACCTATACAATACAATTTATTCTTGTATAGCCCTAAATCACAACTGGAGTCATCTCAGAGGACTTACCAAAAACTACTGAAAATCACCAACACAGATCGGAGAATCAACAGTTAAAACACATAAAGAATATAGACCACATGCCCGTACATGTTGTAGAATATTAAAGTATGCTGGATCATCACCACAGTCCTTCTAGTTTCTCACTAACTGTGCAACAAACCCATCCTGCATCAGCAATGCAAAACTCCTATGAAAAAAAGTTATTCTTATGTGTAATCAGAGGCCTATATAGGGCCACCTTAAACAGAGCAACCTATCACAAACCCTCCTCAGTCTGATAGGACGGTGTAAACAGACCTCCCACCCATTCTGATTTGTTGTTAGTACTCCCTCCCAACCGTTCATCATGATAACACTATCACACACACACACACCTAAGTGTCGTTAACAGGTCCTCCCCTGCAGCTTAGCTATTAACACGTCTTCCTAACTGTTTGCTTTAGAATAAACATGTGCTATGATAAACCGTGATCAATAAATCACTTTAGACAACTGTGAAGCATTTACTTTATCACACACACACAGGGTCAACAGAAGCTAACTCATTACATATTCAAAAACTCTTTGAAAAAAACAGTGCAGTAACACTTTTTCACCACTTGCTCAAGAGCGCCGTCTCTTTTCTGGAGAGTTTTAGGGTGCAGTACCACCTTTTCACCACTTGCTCAATACACCCGTCTATACTATCTACTCAGGACTTTATCATCGTGTCTTTGGGATTTGGGATGTCTAGTGCTATTAAAAAAAACCCTTCCTTCACACTAAACACTCTATGTTCTGTTCCAAATGAAAAAGCAGTGAGGCGAAGTGTCTTATCAGATTTGAGAGGTGTGTATGTGAGAGACCAGTCTGAGGCCCCATTCAGACAGAGACACGGCGTAGACGCTGCAAAGCAATTTGCCAAAACGTCCAGGCTCCTTATTTGAAGTACACACCCTTTAGACAACAACGGAAAACAATGTAGTTCTAGCGCCCAGCCAGTAGGGGGCAGTGGAGGTTTACACCACGACAAGCGCAGTATAAGCACTTCCTAAATAACATCCTTCTAAGGTCACAGCAAAGACCAACATCATTCTGCATTTAACAGTGGAAGCGAACATGGAAAATGCAACTAGAGCGTCACATGTTAGAATTCTCCTCTGTGTATCGCTCAAAGCACACGTTAGCATTAGCTGATCCGCCGCAATTGTTGTTTACATTTGTTCTCTGCTACTACGCATATCAGGTGAGGTCATAGCAGCAGAGAATTCACACATTTTTTTCATGCAGCTGTGAAACAACTCCTGCTGCAGCGTATCTGTTCTGTTCCACTCTGGAGGCTGCTTCTCGACGCTTGCATTTTCACCTCCCTGAAACACCGTCTTCATGTAAACAAAAGGCCAATCCGATACCCAACTCTAATGTTTTACTGTTGCAGTGTCCTCGTGTAAGGCACATGACTGGGGAGAACGGCACCAGTCTGGGGGGAAAATCCTGCATAAACACGATGAGAACATAAAAACTCAACTTAGAAAGGCCCTATGTTGACTGGAACTAGAACTCAGGACTCTGCTGAGAAGTGAGAGTGCTGCGCATCACTTAAACACCGTGCAGTACACTAAATCTGTTTAGGACAGCAAGGACGGGGTCTACTGGGCGACTAACAAAGTGCCACTGTTAAACAAACAAGCACTCGTGTTAAAGCATTTGTCAAAGTCCAAGCTAATATTTCCCAAGGAAAACTGATCAATTAAACCGGCAGCATCTTGTGAGCAATAATCATTTTCTAAATTAACTGATATGACCCAGCGTATGTAAAGTTTACACAACAAAAGTATTAAAGTTTGCTGATAAAAATATTGATGAGAGAAGCATAGCAGGAGACTGATACACAATACAATTACCACATAATCTAGTCATCAAGAGAAAAAAAGGAAACCTGAGAAATGACTCACTTCTTCAATTCGTTGCTCAATCTGGACCTCTCCATTCTCTTGTATAGATCTAAGAAAAGCAGCAATTAAATGATAAACATTTCTCTGACAATACCCACTAGAGATACAGATATTGTTTGATGTTCATGACTCAGTACTTGTAGGGCTGCGCAATACTAGAAACCATGTGTTATGTGATAATGGTGTCTGCAATAAATAAACCAAATATCTCAGAATTGAATGAAATTTCTTTGCACACAGTCATAAAGGTTCAATGCATTGACTCTGCAGTCACATAACATTGTTTAAGTTCTTAGCTATAAATAATATCCATCCATTTGTTTACACTTCATCTGTTCTTATCTGATCTCTGTAAATTAAGATCATACATGCTGGGAGACATTGGCTCAGTTGGTAGAGCATTGGCCTTTGAGCCTGAAGGTTGTGGGTTTGATCACCCTATGAGATCTTCTCCACCGACTCCCACTGATGACAGCTGCCGTTGTGTCCTTTGGCAAGACACTTAACCCCACTCTGCCTGACATCCCGGCTCAGAGATCAAGGCTATGCTCTTCCAGCCTTCCTCCTGTGGACTCACCGCCTGCAGGAGGATCAGTGAGGGGCTGGTGCTCTGTGAATCGGGTGCAGCTCTGAATGCCCCTAACCCCCCTCCCCCCAACTCAGAGATGGATTAAGAGGAAGAAGATGGATGGATGATCATACATGCTAAATAAACAAGTGGATTAAATCTTGTCAAATGTATAAAGTAATAACCAGAGTGAGGTTTATTTCAGGTCATTCCTCTATGTTGTAGAACATGCTTTGGTAGCATGTTGTCGATCCTGAAGCAGAAGGGTCAGAGGAATAGATGGAGAAACATTGAGAAAGTTCCAGACAGGAAGACTGGAATATCTCCCTATCTCTATCCCAGCTCTTCACTTCAATGCTGTCTCAACTACACACCTGCGCCTCTGCTAAAGCACAATCTGCTTCGACTGCATCATTTAATACAGGAGTGGGCTTTTATCATCTCCGGGGGGCCACATGGTGTGAAGGGCAGACCTGAGGGCGTAAGATCATTAAATAAAGTTTTCCAACATTTATTGGCAAACTTCATTCTATAAAATTGCTTTTTTTTTTTATTTATCTATAGTAACATTTTAAATTGAATATTTTTATGAACATCATAATCTGACAAACGTGGATTTTTAAAAAAATCATTTTACTCTTTCTTTCAAACTTCTCACACTTTAATTCCAGACAAAAGGCGGAAAGAAATCTTTTTGTATTGCCCTTTTTTATTTAAGCGGCGGGGCACAGAGTGAAGTGAACTCAGGGAACCAGATCAGGACGCACAATCCAGTTTCAACCCATCACACCAGCATCAGGGTTTAGACAGCGGTGAGTCTTTCCAGATTATTCCTGGTCTTTTAAAGGCCACACGTGTTCGTCAAAGTAATAAATATCATAAACTCATTTTTAAATTATGCATAAATTTATATGAAAATTATATGAATATTACACTCTATTTTAGCTTTGACAATATTATTTCACTACATCATGCAGCCCTACTAATAAGCACCAAAACATTTAGAATAGAAATACAAAGGCTGCATTAAGTTGTTTTTTACATTTTCTTCATGAGCTCTACTACTTTACATTGATCTACAACAGTATTACAACAGATTAAATAATTAAGGAAAATGTAGAGCCTACCTCATATTTGTGTATGTCCCCCAGACAGCTAGACACAAGAAACAACAAAAAACTTACATTAAATAGAGATTGAAGCTTAAATTTAATAATATTGACCAAACAGGCCAGGAGCACAATCTGAGCATTGACGGGCAGGAGAATGAGGATACAGTCTGGAATTATATTTTCGTTCATCATTAATGGAGACACATAAAACAGACCTGCTCTCATAAACTGTGTTCATTTGATCTCTCACAAGAAGCCCTTAACAACTTATTGTTCAATAATTGATAGATTACATGATGCCCTATGTGGGTCAACATTTATGGTCTGTATATTCTTATCACAATAGTTAAGAGGATTTTACCAATTTTTTTTTCTATAATGACATTTGAGTTGTAGATAGTTGAATATGTCACTTATTGCCAGATTCTGCACAGGTGTTTGACTAATTAAGATCAAACATTGTCAATAAGAATGACCAGATTACATTTTCCTAAAGGCAAACATGAGTGTCATTATTTTTGTTTATTGCAAAATGCAAAAGTTCATAGGCAAATACAAAAAAGAAAACGTTTTTCAAGTAATCTTTAACATGTTTTATTATTGGCAGTAAATCTGAAATGATATGCTCAAGAAGTCACCCCTATTTGCATAGCACTAAAATGATCAGGATTTTGTTTTAAATTAGGCAAAAAGCAGATTGTAAGCACCCTTTCATTTTTTTCTAATGGCACTGATGTTTTTTTTCCATATTTCTATATTATCCAAGTAATATAATAATAAGTCTCAATTAATATTTTTTGAAGATGGTGATTGTGACAAGGCTGGGTACATTACCTGGTGCTGAGGAACACAGTGGAGAGATGAATATACATTTAAACCTAGTTAGGGATTTGAACGCATACCTTTTAACAAGATGAGGGGTCAAAACACGAAACTAAAGAACTTAGAGAACTTACATGCGATGTAGGCGATCAGAGCGAGAGCAAAAAGGAGCTTCATAATTCTTCTGTTTATTCCTGTCAGGAGCCAGAAGACCCGCTTCATCCTCCGCTCAATGCAACAGGATCAGCTGCAACACGCTGCACTTCACGTCCAACTAGTACATGTTGTCTTCGGCCCGGAGTCCCAACTTCAACAGCAGCACAATGCACAATGACACATTTATCTCGTTATGATTTGGCACATTAGGCAAGCTGCTGACGTGACGTCAACAACGACAGATATGTGCTTTAACCTACGTGGCTAGCTGCAACATTAGCCGCATCCCAAGATCAACTATGTGTTTCTTAACTTTATTTAGACAGCCACATGGTATTGCCAGCGGAAACACGGGTTCTATAACCGCATTAAATGTGTATTATTAAGTGCCACTTTGATATTCTTTGATATATCTTGGTGACGTTACAGTCGCAGCTTTGCCATATACAAGGAAGCCTCTTCTAGCATCTATCCACTAGCAACAACAAACCGAGGCAAGCTAACATGACAGGAAGCCCTCTCCCCTGGTTCAGTACATGTCTAATCAGTCAGCACTCAACCGGTCAGATTAATATAAAGATATAAATGATTACTTACCAGAAAATTGAGCTTAAGCTCATTTTAGCAGCATCCAACAGTAAAAGCAGCTCTCCTCTCAACCGAACGCCCTGGAAGAGCGATGACTCTGAGGTCGATTGAGCCGCCTGACTCTGAGTGCAAAGCGCAGACGTGTTCAATTTACTACCATGGATGTATTGTGGTACTTTACTAGAACCAGGAAATACACTCACGTTAGTCCAGTTATCAGGTCTCTACTTTGGTTTCCTGTGGCTCGGAAAATGCTTGTGTAAAAGTCTCTCCATGGCCTCGCACCAAAGTACCCCTGACATGATAGTGACCAACTCTCTGAGGAGCACAGGGACTGGCCTCCTGTTAGGATTGAGGACCACATGGGGCTGACCTCCTACTCTGAGGAGCACATTCACTGGCTTACTGGTGCCCAGAGTCAGGACTAAACATGGAGAGGCAGCATTTCAGATTTATGCAGCTAAAATCTTTAACTGTCTTCCAGAAAATGTGAAACTGGCTTCTACTCTGACAGGTTAAACAGTTATTGTTTGCTGTCCATACAAGTGAGAGATTGTGTGTTCACTTTTTGATGGGCTTTTTTTCATCTATGTCCATAGATGCTCTTAAAGAAGCTATACCATAGACTGTACCCGATTTGTTTTCGAATGAGTTCCTAAAAATGCGTATTACTACCTACAATCCATCCATCCATCTATTTTCTTCCCCTTAATCAATTTCTGGGTTGGGGGTGTGGCAGTCAGAGCTGCACCAGCTCCTCACTGATCCTCCTGCAGGTGGTGAGTCCACAAGAGCTGAGATCTTTCAGTGGGGGCTTCAGGCAAAGTGGGATTAAGTGTCTTGCCCAAGGACACAACGATAGCAGACATCATATGAAAAGCACCATACAGTTAATTTCAAGTTGTAACAGAGCTAACATGCACAGCTAAAGCCTACTACTGTTCACGCAGTTTAGCGATATACTGTATATTAACAATCAAATTAGTCCCTATGACCCTATTTGGTCATTATTTATATAACAATGGTTTAAAGGCCAGCAAATACAGTTTAACCTTTAGCTTGACCATCATGGGAAATACAAAGCTAGGCTGACAAGCTAACACGCCAGCCTCATGGTGCAAAATATGTAATTATGGTGATAGCAGTTCATAACTTCACATTTATTACTGACTCGATCTTCCTGCATCCACAACGAAGATACCTCTGACACCCCTCGCTGTCGTAGAAAGGTGCAAAGCAGGTCCTTTGCCTGAGCCATTCCACATTCCTGGCATATGGTCCGGCCATAGACTGTAAATATTAAAGGTCTGACGTCTACAGCTTCTTCTTCTGTATCTACAGTATCTTGATATTTCATGATAAATTGGTATCATGAAATAACATGATAGTTATTTATTATAAAATAACATGATAGTTGTATATCCTGAAATAACATGATAGTTGTATATCCTGAAATAACATGATATTCATCTTGTTATTTCATGATAAATTGGTATCATGAAATAACATGATAGTTGTATATCATGAAATAACATGATATCTATCTTGTACGGACATGAAATTATCTTGAAAAAACATGAAATTATCATGAAATAACATGAAACCAGCGGGAAAAAAACACAATCACAAGTGGACCTAACAAGCTTCCGTAAGGGCCTGAGTCGTACCTAAGCACAGAATTTAACAGGGTGGGTATTGCAATCCTAAGATCATAAAACCATGAGAAATTCACTGCAGCCTGGCATGAAAATGGTTGTAATCATATAGCTTAAATCCGTTCAGATGGAAAAATGACATGGTAGCAGTCTTTGTGATAAAAAACCAAGGACGAGTATGAATCCAAAAAGACAACACCTTGAACTACCTGTAGGTGGCGCTGTTGTACTCACAGTACAGTGTTTCATATTGTTCTGTTCAGGGTCATACACATTCAGGGCGCCCCCAGTGGTCACGTGTGGGACTTATAACTTTTATGTTATGTAATGTTTTACATTACATCACAAGAGGGTTTTAGCTTTGTCTCATAAAGATCAATCTGAATTTTGTGTACCTTTTGTACAAATTAAAATTTTCCAGGGGGCGAGCACATAGAGTCGCTGTGTGCTGGATAAACTCAAAAAAACTTTTTTTCACTAACCGATCGCATTAGACCCCCTATGTGCCAACAGTCATGTCTTCAGAGTCAAAAATGTAATCCTTTTTGTGGAAAAAAATAAATAATATGATTGGTTTTATATACCGCTTTTTTGGACCCTCAAAGACAATGGTGTAGGTTTGGTTCCAATCTTGGTGGGGACATTCACTACGACCTGAGTCTACACCCATTGACACGGGGTCCAGAGTTTCTCCCCCAGAATTTGTTGTGTAATCACACACTATATTTGCAATAGTGTGTTGCCTTCTATACTAAACTCAGCTGTAGACTGAATGAGAAGCAGTTAAGGATTTTTTCTAATAGTTAAAACAAAATCAATTGGATCAGAGCTTCTGAGTTTTGTGTTGCGTTCATTCTATACTGACTTAAACCTAATCCAAATCTACATAATAGCCCTCACCTGAGGCTCTAACAGTTCAGGAACTGCTCTCGATACTTGAAATAAATCATGCTCTGATCTTTCAATTTCCTATAATAAATAAAAACAGAGGAGAAAATATTGAATTAGAATCTACAGTGAGTAGCTCACTACATTGTTTGACATATACGATCAATCTCTAAAAACAATTCATAGTCCCATGCATACCTACAAAATTCCAACCTCACCTGATGCACTGAAGGGCCTGTTGCTTCTACCTCAACATTCCCTATATTGTTCTCTCTTGTTGGTTGAGTTTCCTATGTATGTTAACAGAAGATTAATCATCACAATTCATAATTTGCTATTACTTGTGCTTTCTCTTACTTACTTTCCAACTGTTAAAAAAGCTCTTGATATCTTTTATCTTTTTTTGTGGAGGTGGCATTTTTTCTAAATTATATAAGAAGGTATAGACAATCAAAAACAGACATTCATATACATGAACTGCAGAATCATTTATATAACTTGGCCAATGTCAAAAGTTACATAGTATTTCTCAATACAATGAGTTAACAAGAGTTTGGCAATAAGTAACAGTGTGGATTTTTCTATATTTTCTTTTTTTTATTCCACTCTCAACCCAAAAAGGCAAGTAATGACTCACAGGGTTCTCAAGTATGCAAAATAAAAACTTAAATGACCTGTTGTGGTGTGTTTTGCGCACAACCAGCATACATCGTTAACGCAATGGAAAATTTAGGTATCCAAGCTTTAATTTCGGGAGCGCTGGTTGCACTTTGGGAAGAGTCAGGGGAGAGACATGTCAGAGACACAGGGGAGAAACGCGGGAGATACGAGGGAGACCCGCACTTGCAACATGGTTCTGTCTGCATATGGTCCGAGCTCAGTACCATGTTAGAGCTGTGCTTTCACTGAGCGCCGCGGCTGTCATTACAAAGCGGCAGCAGCTGCACCAGGACGTGCACATTCGAGTGCATTGCTTGAATGTGCTTTGAGCAAATAACAGCAAGTGCCCGCTGTCACACATTTCACAGAAATTACATTATCAGCAGATAAGGGTTGTAAATCGTGGATCCGTGGAATATTTTCATCCCTAGTTTATCCTGATTCACACAACCCACTTATACATTTTGGATAGTAAGAGCACAATAAGTATTTTTTCAGCCTTTCAACCAACCTGTTTCTTTATTGGAGCCAGTTCTGTTCTGTGTCTGTGCCGTGTGAGCTCCTCGGAACATTAAACAGTGCGCTGACAGATTAGAAATAACGTAAGTACTTTGAATGGTAATAGATCTACAGTACTTTCCTCTGATTACTCACGTGCTACAACGCTCAGGGAACAAAAAAAAACACTTGCTTCACGCTGGCTAACTTTTAAAAATTAAACAGTTGCTCAGTGCTTCAGTTTGGCGCTGAAGAAGACAGCCAATCACTGCAGAGAACGGAACGGGTCACGTGCTGCTGCTGCTGCTGTTGCTCTGGAGGCGAGGAGGAGGCGCGACGTATGCACAAACGGAAGACATGATGTCCCGGACCGTCCGGGTCACGGGACATCATGTCATTTTGGTGGGGACTTTTTAGTCCTCACCAAATATTGGTGGGGACATGTCCCCATGGTCCCCATGCAAACCTACGCCCTTGCTCAAAGACACTTCATATGTCATTATTCTTTCACTCTATACACAGTGGTGATAAACTACTGTCATAGTCACAGCTGCCCTGAGGCACACTGACCGAAGGCAACCAGTATGTGCCAGCGACCCCTCCGACCACTACCAACCTCCACACACACACACCAGACTAGTTTAAAGCAATATGGGTCTTGCTTAAAGCTGCACTAACTCACTTTATGACATTTTCGAATGTGAGCGCTGGCCTCGCTCTTTCTGCTCCCCTCCCCACACTCACAAAGCTATAGCCCCCCCACTACCCCCCTCCCAC